AAACAGAGTTTCGTTAAAGTGTTATTTTCCTAAAAATAAGAACAAATTTAAAGGAAGATAAAGCCTCAGTTAAGTTCAATGCAAAGAGTTAACATCTGACACGCCCCTGTTCTTTTGGGACCCAAGGTTTTCAATACTCAGTATCAGATTTGAGTAGCTGATGAGCTGCCAGTCCACACATGGCAATCATATCCCTATGACACTAATTATATTTCTGAGTTAACCTGAGTATGCAAATAATGTCTTCTTATGAGGTTTTAAAGATGATTCTATCCCTTTAAAATTGAATGACTATATTAAATTGAAGCTCTTTCAAGACAATCCAGATTTTAACAGAAGCTGCTGTTTCTACAGATGAGGGAATAATGTTTTATCAGTAACAATTCAATCCAACTTTAGAAATAGGAAATTCAAAAAGCAGCCAAGTCATTTATAAACAGAAGGGGTAAGTCATTTTTATCACTTGATAAAATGTGGCATGACTGGGTTATGTTACAATTAATATTCTGCATGATAATGTGGCTGAAATATCCTTTTATTCCAAAAACAACTACTCATCATCTACTATAAATTTATACTTCTAAAAATTCACCTCTATTTATATATATAAAAGCAATGCTGATTTCTAAGCAAAAAATATTTAAGTTATATAGTAGCTAAAAATTAGTCATACCAATATTGCTATTTTAATATGAAAAATTACATGTCTACTATTTGAGGTGATGACTGTTAAACTCCTAATACAGGAGTGCATAAATGCTCCCCAAATATCATAATGGATTGAACTGCAGATGATTCCTAACCAGTGACTTCAAATTAGCTGCAGTCCTTCAAGCAGCTTTATGGTTCATCAGAACTATGCCCGGATGCTACAAAATTAAAGTGAATAAAATAAAATGATTACTTTAAGATACCCAGAGTACACCGTTTACATTTATCTCCATATACCCTAATATTCTTTAATTTCTAACATAATATTGTCTGACTGAAAAAAGTAAATTTGTTAGGAAACTTTAGCCACTCAGATTTAACTACCATTCTAATAATTTAAAAATCAAATTACTCTATCAGAATATAAACATTCTTGATTAAACTCTAACATCTTAGAAATAATCTAAAAGAAATAAAAATAATCTGAGAATGTAAACAGGAAGAAATTTTGAGGAAGAGTCATCTTATTTGGAAAGAAAATAATGTTGCCCATCCATGTCATCCCTGTTTAACAATGGAGCTTAAATTTTCTGCATTTATGAGAAGGCTTATCAATCAGACTCTGCTTATTCATTAAAATATCCCTACTTTTTTTATTAACTTTTTCTCTAATCAAGAGTTTTCAACCACCTCCCCCATAAGCGCATTTACATGCTGTAAACTTATGAGACCATAGGAAATGGCCATTTGCAACTTCATTTGACCCCTAAAGCCCTAGGCTGCTGTCCCTACTCTGGGCCTGAGACCAACAGCCCTGCATGCATGGCTGACAGGTAAAAGGCTCAGATATTCACCCTGCTGTTGCACCCACCAGGACGGCAGAACCTCAACAGAGGCAGGGGCATGGAACGGCCTTTCTGCCTGCAGAAGACTTACTAGATAGACGTTCGTTTTCTAAATCCTAACAACCTTTAAAAGCCCTGAGAGGATTTGGAAGGGTTTGCCTCCTAAGACGCTGGCATACTGCTGATTCCTTGAGCTGTTATCCTTTTGTTAAACTTCATCTTCCACCTGTGCCTGCCACATGCCCACGGACAATAGTAGAAGCCTGGCTTGCACACGGCACCAGACAGTAACCATGTACTCAAGACAGTTATTCACAATCTGGGCAATGTTCAAAACGATACTTCAATAGAAGGAAAAAAACAGGCTTTTGGTACAAATCATCTCTTTTATTCTCATGCCAGAGATTGTGCTGGATACCAGATACACAGTGGTAAACAAAACAAATGTGATCCTTGCCCTTATTAAGCTTAAAAATCATTGAAATATCATTCAAGATTAAGATAGTCACCTTCTGGGAGGCCACAAACCCTGCAGTTGTCCTGTATGATGAGGTGGATGAATAGCAAATCCAGAGTTGGAGCTCGTTTTCCCCCGAGTTTGCAATGCCCACATCCTACTGCTGCTAAGAGAAAGTTAAATTTCCCTAACAGTTCAGATCAACACCTTGGACAAGTTTCACTGTGGTGTCCCCATGACGTCTTGAATGGCTATTTACAATACTAAATTTGGCAGGTAAGAGAGAAAACTAACAGGACCTTCTACGTGAATCAAAACCAGTAGAGCAACAGCATAAGTAACCAACAAAGTTTCTCTTTCTAGAATTCACACTGTCAGTGAAGAATTGCCAAGCACCTGCCATATGCCAAATACTGTACTTGGTTCTGATACCACTGTGAAACAATCCACTTTACTGGAAGACCATTGCTAAAACGAATACACTTTTTTTCCATATATAAATAACATGAAATGAAAGACAACTAAGTTTTCAAACTGGTGACATATAATGTGTGAAATATGATTTAAAAAACTGTTTGTTCTTAAACCAAGTAAATATTTTCCTTGCTTATACATATATCTAACAAAGATACAAAAGAAAGAGTAACAGAAGAAGAAAATCAGAATGACCAAGTCATTGGATTATTGCAAGGGAATAATGCAGAACAATTCATTAATAACTGCATTTAACAAAAAAACAACTAATAGTCCCAAACACCTGATATCATATAAAGAGAATTTTTTTTTAACAAATAGACAAACATGGCTGAATACAAGGTGTTTGCGTATAGAATCTGTGACCCCAGTACTTTGAACGTAACTCTATTTTATAATTTAACACATCACATTACAAACCATTGTTTATATGGCAAGTTCCACAAGTGAATTGATTTGAGAACAGGGTCTGTGTTTTATTAATCTAATATCCCTAGCACATCCTTTGAGACTGTTTGCTAAAGGAGTAAGAAGCAATTACTAGATGAATACCAAACACATACTCTTCTGCATGGAGTCATCAAGGACCGTGTCACAGAGAAGATGAGACACCGATAATTTGCGTAAGCAAAGACAGGAAAGTGCATTCCAACGAGAGCCAAAGGACAAAGTCTGGATACCCCGTAGGTGCCAATGCAGGGGAACACTGTTACGACAGAAAGCAGAAGTCCTGAGTGCCGCCCAGAAGAGCTGTTTTATTCCACAGGCATCAAGGAGTCAGTCGAGTGTTTTCAGGGAGCGGAGTAACAAAATCCCAGTACTACTTTGGGGAGATTACTTGGGCAGCTGTGTGAAGGAGGGATTAGGAGAGACACGAGGCAGGGAGATCAGTGGAGTTTTACTGCAATAACCCAGGTGAGATTCAATAAAGACTTGAACAGTGTGATGGCAATATAAAGAACCAGCAAAGGAAAGAACGAGCTAAAAGAAGCATCAAGAGGATATATGGGGAATAATGGAGGCAGATGATGGAGGATAAAACATCACAGAGATGGAAGAAAACACTGAGGGGTAGAAGAGAACAAGGCCTTCTGAAGAGATAATATTTATCAAGAGGCTTGAAAAACAGTCTTTGCAACTAGGCAGAGTGACTTTTCTTGGGTTCGGTATTTAAATTAAAAAAGAGGAGAGTTCACCTTGTCTGGTCCAATAGACCACACTGAAGAAGAAACAAGGACTTAAAAAGATAAACTATCTAATAATTAAAAGGCCTGTCCCACTGGCAGGACATCGTTGGGAGCAGCTCAGTGCTGTCTATGGAGCCAGAATTCAGTGAAGAAGGGAAACTCCCTTCCATTCCAAACATGATTCACAAAATAGACATTTTCATACATACACAACCCAAGTGATCTGAACTATTTTAAATGACAATTTAGCCTAGAAATAAACTTTGATGTTTTAGTGCCCAAATGGGTTTGTTAAAAAAATGCAGCATCCTCCAGTACTTGGCCACATCCTTAAGATTCCTAGGCCACAGGGCATCTAAGACTACAGTTCCAGAAAACAAAATTCTTCCTTTTTTCCGAGGGAACATTCCCTAGAGAGTGTAATACATTTTTTCTCCAAGAGTAAGGCAACAGAAACGGGGCTGTCACACCTGAGACCATACAATTAAAAAGGAAATCATAACTATGTTAATGTTCTGTAAAATTAAGTCTTAGATCCACAGGCTCAGATCCTTGGGCTATCCTAGTCCTAACGATCTGCTATGCCATGCTTTTGAGGACAAACTCCACTAATAAAAGCAGCTAAAGAGAGCCAGACATATAGCAGATCCATGAAGGCTGCAGAGCTTTCTGAACATCTCAGCAGGGCCCATAAATATCCCTGTTTAAGTTCTCAATATACAAATAAATAATACCATCAATGATAAAGAAAAAATCTGTCAGGAGTAAAGGTATGTTCCTACTTACTTTTCTCACTTTTATTTTTGATTTAATAATAGCTGCAGCAATGCCAATGCATTCTACTTATCTAAAATCTCAACGTTTGAGAGAGTAAAGCCCGTGTTTTCCAGCTTAGTAAAAGTCACTTATCTAAAAACGGTGGGTGGTACAAATAATTTAAATAACTGAGACCAAGTTACTAACCAAAGAGAAAATGCCTAATTTATTTTTCCAACATATGATGAAGAAAGACCACTTAACACTTCACAAATTCAGCTCTACTTCCGCCACAGAAATTATGGTTATAATGCTCTCCAGTGTAAAAACACAGTTTTATCAATCCCCATTAAATCATTTTCCAAGTAGTCTGTCCTCTCTCAAAACTTCTCAAAAGACCATGTTGCAAGGTTGCTGCATCAAAAAGACATTTCTGAAGTCAACTCACTAGATCTGCACTGGGATTGACTTCCCACATCTAATTACTCAAGCTTCATAATGTTCTTAAAATACTATTTGTGTCATGTGATTAAAAAATAGCCACTCCTCCCAAATAAACACAGAAGCTGATGGAAGAGAGAGGCAGCATAATGGGTATAAGAACGGGTGTGTAACAGAAGCTTCTTTTCCCCCCTGCCCTTCGTTTTTCCTTCTTTCTCCCCTACATCCCTTTCGGTTTGCCTACCCCATATACAACTGAACAGTATTAAAGCCCTTATGAATAAATTCAAAAATAATAGTCCTTCAGGAAGTGTAGTAAACGTGTGCAATTGGACTCTTAGCTTGAGCCACCTTCTGATAACAACTAATGTCTACTAAGTCTTGTGTTACATATGTTACATGTGTTACATGTGTTAGTTCACATAATTCTCAAAACCATCATGTAAATCAGAAGTGTGACTATGACCCACACTTTATAGATGAAGAAAGCAAAAAAGAGTTCAGGTAACATGCCAAGCTAATGAACATGGGGCAAGGACTGGCTGGCTGGCATCTGACCCCGAGCCTGCATGCAGTGCTGCCACCTCCAGAACCTGCCAGCCATCCCTCTGCTGGACATCACAGCCCGGCCAGCGCTTCTTCTCTAATCATTCCATTGCCACTGCTCTTTCTACATCCAATCTAGGATAGTAGATTCCACTCATGCAACAGATTCAAGGGCTGGACAGGAGCTAAGAAAAGAAAATGGGAAATTAGTAGGTTCAGGGGACTCATTTTTGTGTAACTTTTTTCCTGGCAAGATAGGAACTTCAGTATCTGTCACAATATCAAGGAATAAATTCTTCTCACAATGCAGTGAGAATTTTTTTTCTTGAGGAAAAGTGAAGGCAATGTAAAAAGCAAAACTTTAAAACTTTAGAAGGAAATACAGAGAATACTGAAATGGGAAAAGTTCCCTTATCCCCTACACAGGGCATGTGATGGGGGTGTGTCTCACTTCCTTGGTGGCCCGTTGCTCAAACCCCTACAGCAGGCCATGGTGCTCCCAAACCCACGGCAGGATCTAGAGGTGAATGTTTACAGCTTGTGAAGTCTCAGTGGGCGTGTGTTACAGGATGCTCTTTTTTCAGTTTAGCCATTAGTAGGTGGCTTGTTAGTCAGCTCAATCAGACCCCCTGCTTTATCGCAAGGATAAAGGGCTTTCTGTATTCTGGGGTTTCTGGCCTTCATGCATCAGAAGAATCAGATCACACTTGGGCTTGGGGAATGGGTGCAAGGTTTTATTGAGTGGAAGTAACTCCAGCAGATAGGGGAGCCAGAAGGGAGACGGTTTTCCTCTGGAGTTTGGCCGCTCAGCAGCCTGGGCTCTCCTCCAACCTCCCAGGCCAAACTCTGAGTTGTTCTGCTGGTCAATGGCCTGCCAGCAGGCTGGTGTCTGTGGTGCCTGGTGGCGTGCTCTTCAACCGATGTGCTCCTCTCGACCTCTCAGTTGTGTATTCTTCTGCTGATGTGCTCCTCTTGACGTCCAGTTGCTTGTGTCTCCGCACGCTAAGGTCTCAGGGTTTTTACAGGCATAGGATGGGGGTATGGCATCAGGGTGGTCTCGGGAAAGTCAACTTTTGGGCAGGAAAACAGAAATTCCTGTCCTCACCTAGATTCTTAGGTACAGGCCCAGGGGTGGAGCCCTAGCCAGGGACCATAACCTTCCTTTCCCAGTATTTCCTTGCCTCTCTTCCATATCATATCTTTACAACTTTGTAGGAGCAAAATACAATTTCTCTTAGAAGACACAAAAACCACAAATTATACATGAGAAGATTGATACATATTTACTGAATTAAAATAAAAAATTTCTGAACCTAAAACACCATAAATGAGAAACTGAAAGATAAGCCCACATACTGGCAGACATTTGTGACTCTTCAAATAAGAAGTCGTGTCCTGACTTCCTATGCCTTCCACCCTGGAGGAGAGCTTCCAATTCCCTGGCCCAGCACCAGAATGTGGTATTGATCACATTTTTAAATGTTGTGCCAACTTGATAGGTATAGAATTATACCATATTGTCTTACTTCACATTTCCCTAATTTCTGTGATTACTATTGGATCTCTTCACATGGCTACTGGGCATTTGGTATTCTTCTGAGAACCGCCTGTTCATGTCTTTGCCCAATTTCATTCTGAGTTGCTTGGGTTTTCCTTACGGATCTGTAAGAGTTCCTTATGTAGGTAACATTTTAACAAAACTATATATACTCTTAAAACTTGGTACCAACACCTTCTTTTTTTTTTTTTTTTTTTTTTGAGACGGAGTTTCGCTCTTGTTACCCAGGCTGGAGTGCAATGGCGCGATCTCGGCTCACCGCAACCTCCGCCTCCTGGGTTCAGGCAATTCTCCTGCCTCAGCCTCCTGAGTAGCTGGGATTACAGGCACGCGCCACTATGCTCAGCTGATTTTTTGTATTTTTAGTAGAGACGGGGTTTCACCATGTTGACCAGGATGGTCTCGATCTCTTGACCTCGTGATCCACCCACCTCAGCCTCCCACAGTGCTGGGATTACAGGCTTGAGCCACCGCGCCCGGCCATCAACACCTTCTAATTAAGCTTTTAAAGAACTTAAAGAATCAACTGCACAAGCAAATGAAAAAAAGTTCAGATTTAAAATATTAATTTAGTGTGAAAGTGAATGTTTTCCTAAAAGTAAATCATAGGTATTTTATTTAATAAAACCAAGACTAGGCCGGGTGTGGTGGCTCACGCCTGTAATCCAAGCACTTTGAAGGCCAAGGAGGGCGATCACCTGAGGTCGGGAGTTCAAGACCAGCCTGACCAACATGGTGAAACCCTGTCTTTTAAAATAATAATAATAATAATAATAATAATAATAATAATAATAATACCAAGACTAGTAAATGTTAAATTTGACTTGCTAGCAACTTAATTCTTCTGATTTTGAACCATCACATGAGCCAGCTCGATCAATGTTATTTCTGCTTGTAAACAATGAACTTTTTTATTATAAATCAATTTAGAACTTTACACATATACTGGCAAAGTACATAAACAACTCTCAAGAGTAAACAGTCTCATTAGTAACCAGAAAATACAAACTAAACTGAAAAATTCCCATTTTCTAGAAATCTAAGTGACAATTAATTTTCAAATAATAACAGCCAATGTTGGTGATGAGATATACTGATAAACTCTCAGAGTGTTGGTGAAAACATATTTCGGTATAACCTAATTGCAGGAAAATGTAGCAATCTGCAATAGAACCCTGAAAATGTTTATAGCATCTGTCCAGGTGATTTAACCTCATAAAATTTATTCAAAGGAAAGAGTCAGTCACAAGATCCCCACCCCACCCCACCCAAATATTTAGCATCACTCACTATGTGTACAGGACACTGAAAAGTTGGTTCCTGAACAACTTAAAGCATAACAAACTTGCTTTTTTTTCTGTAAGAAACTGCTTCTATATGATTAGAGTAGGACTCACAGACATTTTGGCCACTAAGCAATGAAAAGTGCCCTAATATATTAATTTTCTTTCCACATCAGTAAAATGAAATCAGATTTTTAGGCTACCCCGCAGGGCATTTAGTTCTTTTCCTTTGAGATGAAACTCCAGGCAACTACTGATCTGCTTTCTGTGACTACAGATTTGTTTGCATTTTCTAGAATGTTATACAAATGCAAATGTTATAACATGTAGCCTTTTGAGTCTGCCTTCTTTTACTTAACATGATAGAGCTGAGATTCACCCATGCTTAGCACATATCAATAGTTCATTCCGTTTTATTGATGAGTTGAATGGTCATTGTTTGGATATACCACATTTGTCTATCCATTCACCTGCAAATTGACATACAGATTGTTTCCAGTTTGGGACTATTACAAGTAAAACTGATATGAATATTCACGTAGAAATCTTTGTAGGAGCATATTTTTTCATTCCCTAAGTTTGGAAAGGCTGGACTGTATGATAGGCGTATGTTTAATGTTTTAAAATTTTGCCAAACTGTTTTCCAAAGTGGTTACACTATCGCACATCCACCAGCAGTGTACGAGAGTTCTAGTTCCTCCACATCCTCACCAATACTTTGTATGATTAGTCTTTGTAATTTTAGCCATTGTAAAGGTATATTTAGTGGTAGGCATTATTCCATTTTAATTAGTTTTAATATGATTTTTTCCTTGCTATAAATTAAACAAAGAACTAAAATGTTAAGATTTAATAGGTGTCCACGGAAGTAATAAAATTCTTCTTACTAGAAGTATAAAAGACTGGACAGCCAAATAACAGGAATGCTGTGGAAGTACATCCGCACCAGAGCAATATGGTTCAACTTCTGGGTAACGAAGTTGTCTGTTTTCAGTTGCCATGGACCCTCAGGTCACGTAACCTGGGCATGTCCAAATGAACCAAGCATGCAACCACAGGGGAAACCTAAAAGCCGGGAATGAACTAAGAAGTGAACACCACACAACAGAATCCAGGATCCAATCAGGTGGAGCTCTAGCATCATTCTACAGCAGGATCCAGTCAGATCAGGCCTCCCGGCATCACATCATTACAAGATCCAATCAGATCACAACTCATTATCCGATGCTTATGAAACCTGACCCACCCCCAGCTCCGGGAGACACTGCCTTGAGAACTATCCCTGGTGTTCTTCTTACTTGTTATGAGTAATAAACTCTCTTTATTAAATACTAAATCTTACTGTATTTCCTTGGTTCTCGTCATTGGGTTGATACCTAGTCCAGCAATCAAACCAACCTGTTGTGTGGGTAACAAGAATTTCATGTCTTGAGTGGATGGATGAAAAATATCCTTTAAGTGTTCATCTATCCTAATATATCATGATCCTATTAAATGAAAAACATTAGGAATTACAGCCAAATAAATAAGTTCTAGACACAGTGAATAAAACAAAGCCACTCAAACAGAAAAACAGAGCTTGTTTAAGAAAGCTCATTTTGAAATATACCTTGGCATGGTTCCCAGAGGCTAAGAAGTCTATTATTAACAAAACAAACTCAAGGTATAAATTATTTGTTGTTAAACTATACACATAGACACTCATACCTATTTATATACAAAGCCCCTGCCTTCTGGTCCATGACATCCGATTTACCATAATCCTTCTGGCTCACTTAGTTCCCTAAACTCTCTGAACTCCAAAGTTGGTGACCACAAAGACACTCCCCTGAAAACATTCCATTCTTTTTCCTTTGGTCCTTTGGCTAAACCTGCCAAATAATTTGCTCCTATTGCATCTCACATCCATTCTTTCCTCTCAACGCCCCTATTCTCAAGATGCTACTAGATAATTAACACAATATATATGAAGATAAAAAGTCCATGGCAAACATTCCTCACCCTTTGGTGATTCCCTGTTTCATAAGAATGCATCCCTTTGTCTTGACGCCACTCTAACAACCTGGAAAATGCACATTCATCTTTCCAGATTCACCTCAAATTTCACTTTCTTCAAGTTCTCCATCTCCCATTTGCAAAAGTGGAGATTCCTTCCCTAGGTTTCCAGCTTGTTCATAATCCTTTTAAAGCTCTTACTTTGCAATAATGGCATTGAACCCCAAAGAAAGAACCACCAGAACTGAGAGTACCCTCTACTGAAGAATGAAATCCAAAGGCTTCAAACAACTAAGCCCCAGTCTGCTACCCAGTTCAGAGTCATGTTCCAAAAAGTTAAAATTACTTCAACCCTGACTTTGAAATATATGACATACCAGGGTAATTTCATTCAGTGAAGGAATATTTTCAGTTTTAGCTATTTAAGGGACATTTGCCCAAATGCAGTTACCACTAAAGGGTCAGATATTAAACATTCTGTAAGTATGACACTTTAAAAGACAGCAGCATCCTGAATTCTGACTATGTTTTCTTAGCCACTTTGGTGCGTAGAAGCCATCAAAGCTATTGGGCTATCTATAAATACTTAACCTATAAACTTGAGATTATTTTTTAATGCAGAAAATTGGAAATATGACTTGCCTTGGCATCATTTATCAGAAGTTGGAATGATTTCCATTTAAGGAATTCTCAATTCATTTGACACATCTCTTATCACTGAAAATATGGAGTTCCAATATAGAAAACAAGTTCTTTAAACACACAAGAATCTGAGACCTGTCAATCAGTCTTAAACAAGTATCACAGGCACTGGCACATTTGAGCCAACAATGAACCACTTTGATCATATCAAAAGATACATGCCCTGCTTCCCAATTAACGATGCCACATCTAGAACAGCATACTACAGAGAGTATTTGCTTAAGGTGGATAAGCAAGTACAATTAGACCAAGAGTGGAGAAGGGCTTCTTTGTTCAAGGATACACAGCTTAAGTTTACAGATTTGCTCCAAATAGTCTTTCAATGAATAGTCACCCCAACATCACACTGGCCACATTATGAATAAGGCCAAAACATGTCAGGCAGTTTAGGAGAATAATGAATGTATGGCATCTATATAAACTGTAAAAGAGATTGTCATGGCCACACAATTTCCTATAATGTACACACAAAATCCTGTTGTGGGAGAGGAAGTTATAAAAAACCTTGATTATCTGGAAAATACTCTAAATATGTGGAACTTTGCAGATTTGGAACTATGGATTAGTTCAGCCAACTTTCATCAATTTCTCATTTTTATCAGTTCACCAACTTTTATGTTGAGCACTGAGAATGCAGAGAAAAAATACACAAACTGTCCTCAGGAAATTAGCATTCTATGGGGAAAATAATGTTGAGGCAAATAACTGTGACAGAAGTACCATATGTTCAAGAAGTGGAGGTTAAAAAAAAAAGGAAAGTGGAGGTAATACAAAGGAGGAGATGGTTAAGCCATGTAAAGGATAAAAAAGGTGTTGTAAACACTAAAAATGCAATTTAAGTAGCTTAAAGGAACACTGAATCTTCAGGATTATATTGTCAAAGAGAGAGGAGAGAAGGAAGATGATGGTTTCTTTGGCTGAAACACGAAGAGAGATGGGTGATCCTCTAAACACTCATATATCAATCCAAAGGAAAGAGAAAAGAGGAGCTGATTTATATTAGAAATAAATTCTCTAAGCCGAAGAAAGCAACAAAAGGTCAGGAGTACAGTCCAAAAGATGGTCAAGTTCCAAAGTCCAGGGAGAAAAATGAAACCATTATTACTCACAGATGAGGAACCAGTCAGAAAAACATGCTTTGAAACTTAGGTTAAGTTAGGGAAGTGCCCTAGTAAGAATGTCTCGCTACACAAGGGAGGTCTTGAATGCACCAGCAGGAGAGGGTAGAAGAGTAGTGGGCACTGAATACATAACTAGAACAGCTCAAACCCGATTTACAACACACTTCCTTCCTTGGTACCTTTTACACCTGGAATGATCTTTTAAAGTCTCTTTAGTTTCTAAACTTTGATGACTTTATACATTCCCCAAAGCAAGTTTAAAAGGTATGAGTATATATTAAAAACTTAATACTGCTGAAAATAGGAGTTACTTTCTAAAGTAAGATTTATGACTCTGATCTTTATTAGCTTGAACTGCCATAACAAAATATCATAGACTGAGTAGCTTAAACAACAGAGATTCTCCTAGTTTTAGAGGCTGGAGGGCCTCAATCTGCCAGCATGGTCAGGTTCTGGTGAGGGTTCTCTTCCTGGCTTGCAGACAACCTTCTTGCCGTGTCCTCACATGGCCAGCAGGAACAAGGGAGGAAGGGAAGATCTCTCTTGTCTCTTCTTACGTGGTCACTAATCTCATCTTGAGGACTCCACCCTCACGATCTCATCTAAATTGCTTTTAACTTGATTTTGTTTCTAAAAGTCAGAGTCTTGCTCTGCCACCCAGGCTAGAGAGTGCAGTGGCACAATCATAACTCACTGCAGCCTGGAACTCCTGGGCTCAAGTGATCCCCCACCTTAGCCTCCTGAGTTTATACCATGCCTGGCCCTCATTTAAATTTAATTACCCTCCAAGGCCCCAATTCTACATACCGTCACATTGGAAGTTAGGACTTCAACATATGAATTAGGAGGTGGGGAATAATTCAGTCTACAGTAGCTCTCAATATAAAATTTCTAATTATACATCCAATGGGCAAGTGAAGGTAGAAAAATACAAAGGAGAACAGAGAACTGGCTCCCAGAGGCCCTCCTGAAAGGTAATAACAGAAAATCACCAGTTCCATAGATATGTTTCAAAATAACATTATCAGCCAATATACACTTACTGGATACCAAATGGCACCAGAGAAAATAGAAAGGGCGAGGAAGAGGAGAGAAGTGTACCACGAGACATGGCAACTGCCCTCTACGACTTTAAACATGAACGTCAGGCTGGTACTGACACTAGGAGGGGCTACACTACAAGTGAAATAGTCATAATGTAGGAGTTCAGAGGAAGGAAACACCTCGGGGATACAATCCAGGGGAAGGACTTTACAGAAAGAATGGAGATTCATAGAAGTGCACTCTAGAGAGAAAAGAAGTGATCAAAAGCTTAGAAACAAGCATGCCCAAGGCAATATTCAGAAGGTGGTGAGCAGATAAAAATTACTAGAGAGGGAAGAAATTAAAACAAAGATTAGGAAGGTGGGTTTCACGAAATGACCAGGGTCTGGACAGAGGTCCGGGTTTTTATCAGCATATGAACATGAAAGGTATCAGCAACTAAGGAATACAGTCTGTTAGTTTAATCTCAAATCAAAAACAGGAATAGAAATACCAATAGATTCTGCTACCTGGCAAGGAGAATCATCAGCCCACCTCTGCCTCAAGAGATTAATTTCAAAAATTTGATATTTATCTTAACACAAAATGCCCACTAAGCTCCTGTCTTGTTTTAATCCCCTTTTTTTGTAATCATCCATTTTATAAATATTTATATAATGTCTCTTGCCATAGCGCCTTACAGCAAAACCTCATCATTTTCTATTCCTAGCAAAGAAAGAAAAACACATAAAGGTAAACAGCAGAAATTTATGTTTGATCGGCAAGTTCTTTGCTCTCTCACTAGCACACTTAAAGGAATAAATATTCAAAACACATGGCATAATGCTCCAAAATATTTAACAGAGACATGGCACAATAATTTGATCATTCCTTCAAGAAAGTACCCTTAATTAACAAGTTTTAAATTAAAATGCTTAAATAAAGTGGAGACTAGTAAAGAAAAAGTAACTACAGTCATGTACTACCTAACAACATGTTAGTCAACAAGAGACCACATATACCCACTGCTGACTAAAAAGCCAAATTGTAAAATACTCTTAAGAGATTTATTCTGAGCCAAATATAAGGACCATGACCCATGACAAGGCCTCAAGGGGTCCTCAGAATATGTGCCCAAGGTGATCGGGTTAAGCTTGATTTTATATGTTTTAGGGAGACATAAGACATCACTCAATACATGTGAGGAATATATAGGTTTGGTCCAGAAAGCTGGGACAACTCAAAAGAGAGATGAGAGGAAAGAGGGACAGCTTATAAGTCACAGGCAGATTCAAAGATGTTCCCGACTCGTAACTGGTTGAATGAATTAAGTTATTATCTCAAGACCTAGAATCAGTAGAAAGGAGTGTCTGGGTTAAGATAAGGAGTTGTGGAGACCAAGGTTCTTACTATGCAGATGAAGTCTTATAGGTGGCACCCTTAGAGGTAATACATTTAAGTTACTCTTCAGGGTCAGAAAAAGACCTGGAAAGGGAAAGAGATTCTCTGCAGAACGTAAATTTTCGCCACAAGAGACAGCTTTGCACAGCTATTTCAAAATATGTAAAGAAATACATATTAGGGTAAAATACTTCTTTCAGGGCCTGCTATCTGCCATGTGATGCTATGTTAAAGCGAGGTTGGAATTTGGTATCTTATTTCCTTTCACACTGCAGAGTCTGTTTTGCCAGTCTTAAGACCTCTGTCTTAATGTTAATGCTGGTCAGTTGTGCCTCAATTCCAAAAAGAAGAGAATCTAATGAGACATGTCTGACTCCCCCTTCCCATCACGGCCTGAACTAATTTTTCAGGTTTTCCTGGAATCCTGAGAGGAAGAATCCATTCAGTAGGCTGAGCAGCTTAGAATTTTGTTTTTGGTTTACACCATATACTACAGTGGTCCCATAAGACTGTTAGGTTTTTTTTTTTTTTTTTTTTTTTGAGACGGAGTTTCGCTCTTGTTACCCAGGCTGGAGTGCAATGGTGCGATCTCGGCTCACCGCAACCTCCGCGTCCTGGGTTCAGGCAATTCTGCCTCAGCCTCCTGAGTAACTGGGATTACAGGCACATGCCACCATGCCCAGCTAATTTTTTGTATTTTTAGTAGAGACGGGGTTTCACCATGTTGACCAGGATGGTCTCGATCTCTTGACCTCGTGATCCACCCGCCTCGGCCTCCCACAGTGCTGGGATTACAGGCTTGAGCCACCGCGCCCGGCCCGACTGTTAGGTTTTAAAAGCTATCTTTTCCTAAACATTTAAATTAAAAAAGATTATAATGGAGCTGGAAAATTATCACCCAGTGTCATTGTACCCTAGTAACATCACAGCACAACACACTATTCACCTGTTTGTGGTGATGCTAGTGTAAACAAACTTAGTTAGCTGCCACTCATATAAAGAATAGCACACACAATTCTGTACTACATAATACTTGATAATGGCAATAAATGACTATGTTGCTGGCTTAGGTGTTTACTATACTATACTTCTTATCTGTATTTAGAGTATATTCCTCCTACTTATAAAAAAAGAAGTTACCCGTAAAACAGCCTCAGGCAGGTCCTTCTGGAGGTATCAGGAAGAAGGCACCGTTATCACAGGAGATGACAGCTCTGTGTGCCTTATTGCCCCAGAAGGCCTTCCAGTAGGACAAGATGTGGAGGTGGAAGACAGTGATATTGATGATCCTGACCCTGGGTAGGCCTAGGCTAATGTGTGTGTTTGTGTCTTCATTTCTAACAAAAAGTTTTAAAAGTAAAAAAGAAAAAAAAAAAAAACTAAGCAAGAGCTTATAGAATAAATATATAAAGGAATATTTTGTACAGCTGTACAATGTGCTTGTTTTAAGCTGTGCTATTAGAAAAAAAGTCAAAAATTTTAAAAATTCAAAGTTTATAAAGTAAAAAAAGTTACAGTAAGCTAAGGCTAACATATTAGTGAAGAAAGGAACTGTTTATATAAATTTAGAATAGCCTAAGTGTACAGGGTTTATAATGGCTACAGTAAGGCACACTACTGTCTTAAGCCTTCACAGTCACTCAATACTGACTCACCCAGAACAACTCCCCGACTTGTAAGTTCCATTCATGGTAAGTCCCCTATACAGATGTGTCATTTGCCATCTTTTATACCATATTTTTATGGTATCTTTTCTATATATAGGTATGTTTAAATGAACAAATACTTGCCATTGTGTTCCAACTGCCTACAGCATTCAGGACAGTAACATGCTGCACAGGTTTGTAGCCTGGGAGCAACAGGCTGTACCATACGCCTAAGTGTATAGTAGGCTGTAAGCATCTAGGTCTGCGTAAGCAGAGACTATGATGTCCACATGATGACAAAATTGCCTAATACCACATTTCACAGAATGCATCCCACTACTAAGCGATGCATGATTATACTATGATTAATGAGGTTATGCGGGCACAAATATCATGGGAATTTAAAAGGAATCTAAGATTCTGTAAGAATTCTTAAGTCGTGTTATTTTACTCTGTGAGTTAAGTAAAATTGCTTTCACAATTAAGTTTTGAGTTAACATAAAGCTATATCTAGAAATAATCTCAAGAAAGTATTTATGGCCAAAGCATTTTAATTAACATAGGTTGAATATTCTTTCAAATACTCTGAAATCTGAGTAACAATATGCATACTAATGTACCACTCTAGCAGTTGTCATTCTTCATCAACAAAAGATGACTGTAACTGTAGAATATACAGCCATGGGAATAACCTAAGTGTCATGATTCATTTACAAAATGATCTCTGAACAGTGTATCAACCTAGGAAATTTGGTATTATTCAGAATTGAGTAGCAGAAAGGGTTGCTTCAAAAACAAGGATAATTTGAGCATTGCTCAAGCTCAACTAAAGACATGTACACATGCATACGTGTTTGTGCAAGAGTGTTCATGTTATCGAGATACAACTTACACAGAATAAAGTACAAAGATTTCAAATGATAGTTTCATGATTTGTACATCTGTAGATCATGTGAAAACCACCAAGACAGCATTTTCAGCATTCCACAAGACTCTTCTGTGCTCCCTCCCCAGGTCAAACCATTATTTGAACTGTATTGCTATACTGTAGTTTAGTTTTGCTTTTTCTTGACCACCATATACAAGTTATTATATGACATGAACACATTTGGGTTTAGCTTCTTTGGCTGAATATTAAGTCTATGGAATTCATCTATCAATAGTTTGTTCTTTTTAATTGCTAAAAATGCACCATGATTTATCCCTTCTACTACTGACGGGAATTTGAGTTGTTTCTAGTTTGAGGCTATTATGAATTAAGTCATTATTTGTATTTTGTGTGTGTGTGAACACATGCATTGCCTGCATTTTTGTTGAATACGTACTTAGGAGTGCAAATTGCCAGGTCATTCGGCAGACATATGCTTGACTTCAGTAGATTCTGCCAATGATCGCAAGGAAGTCATGGCCTAATGAGAACTTTCAAAAATAGTCTATTAGCTTCTTGAGTATGGCAAACAAGCAAACAAAAATAGCACCAAACTCTCTTGCTCCCTTGCCAAAAAGAGGTGCAAAGCTATAGAGGGCTTACTTTTCAAAGATGTTATATAGTCAGGACTGAAAAAAGAAGTGAAGAAAGATTTGGACAAATTTATGGATGATACCATAAATTACCTGAAAGAGGGTAGATGTGGGACATACTTAACATAAAACAGACATCAGAGAAGATATAACTGAAGGCTTATACTGAATAGATACAAGGACTGACTTTTGGCAATGGACCCAATGGTATATGCCCATGCACATTAGCAAGCAAACACTGCAATTTCTACTCAATATCGAAAAGACAGAAGCAGAGTGTCCAGGACTCATTTAATGGGAGTAGGAAATTTAAGAAGCCATACAGCCTATCTTTTTTAAAGGCAAGGGGGCACGCACAACACCACAAAAAAGAGCCCTGGCCCAGTACTGGTTACACATTGTAATGGATGGCAACTGAAAGACCAAATGCTTTGGTCATCAAGATGTGTGTCCAATGTCCGGGGGTAGATGAGGGAGAGTCAAAAGTATTCCTCTTGCCTCAAAGGGATTTGTCTGGTGGATCAGTATGATTAGAGAGCATAATTCCTTGTCTGTGCTGCTCCAACGATTGTACTCATTCAAGAGTTCCATTTCTTTTCAGCAAAACAAGGCATTCCTTTTCCTTTCCCATATGTGTCAGCTTTAGAAACTGTAATCTCCTTTCTAAACTACATCAATAGATCCAAAGACATATCTTTTGACAAGTGCTTGATGCTTTCTTCAAAAAAGTAGTATTTGTCCCCCAAAATACTTTTTCATACCAAATGGTTGTGTCATATTTACACAACCATGGAAGTTCATGACACCTTTAAGGGTACACCTTAAACCCCAAAATCAAGCTTCAAATTCAATATTATCTTCATCCTCAATGATTCCAAATCACAATTAAAAAAGAAACCCTGGTTCTTTGCTTTCAATCAATATAATCCCCTAAGAGTCCAAGCAACAAAACAGTCACATAAAATATTTTAGCTTTATGTATTTAGAATAAACTGATCCAGTAAGGTGATCAATCAATTTTCAATTACATTTGGCATCTCAATAAGAAGACAGGGCATATATTTAGAACTGACAACAGTCACTAAATGAGAGGGTTCATACTTTAAGGATTCCACAAACTTCCAGAGTATGTAAATTAGCACTATTATTCACTAACAAAGCAGCATTTTTTCTTTAAACAACAACTCACCTAGACTTTCTACACTGTCACAATTTTAAAAGAACACAGGAATATTCTAAATGTCCCAAATTAAAGCCAAATAGATGACTATAATTAAAGAATTTGCAATTAAACAAATGTATAGATTTTTACATGGAGTTTGCATATTAAAGATACCCATTCAAAATATATAATGAATATATCTAGACCCCTTTCTTTATAAGTTCACCTTTAAATTTTTAGAATATATTATAAAGTTCAAATTTATACACTTATCACTCTGACTGAATAAAGATCCTCTATATGCTATTAAAGCAAACTGCTAAACTAATATTTTAAAATACAAATACTTAACATGAAGTTTAGCTCATACATTATTTTATACAGAATACTCACTACATCAAACTTCTGAGTGATGTTCCCCTGGACATCAAGCAAATAAACCTTGCCATAATGTGTGCCCAGTGCCAAAAACTGTAAGAAGAACAAAGAGGCCAATTAACATACTATTAATACACAAGCAGTAATAAAACCATTTTTAAAGACAAGATGTTTAATGCATAAATGATCTGCAATGTCTCAGAAGATATGCATTCCTTGGAGAAGGCTTGTTTCCAGCTTCAGGGAAATAACAGAACAGGGCCTATTTTATTGTGATAGTGCAAGCTGGCTGTCAGAATGACTCATGAGGATCCTCATTTACTGACAACTAATGATGTGTATGCAGTCTATACACAATGCCTGATGGACTGAGGCAGTAAATTAAAAATGCAGCGGTGAAAACACGACCAACCTACAGTTGAACTCAAAGTCAGAACAGAATGATTCAGAAACTCGCCCTAATTTATGGCAAATGTGTAAATCTGTGCTATCACTTAAGCTGCACATATATACAAACAACAAATTATTTTTTCAAATGGAAAATCCATGCCATATTGAGACCAGAAATCTCAGGTGTACTTATACCATCAGTTAGCTTTAGGATGCTTCCACAAAAGTTAATGTATAAGATTGAGGGTAAATGTTTATATTCTCACGCAAAAAAAAAACAAAAAAAAACAAAAAACAAAACCTTTTCTGTCATAAAATAACGTTGAGCTACATATTCATCTTATGTCGTAAATCCTACTGTTTATTTAATTCTCGGAACTAGCCCTAAATAAACCTGAAGAAATAGGACTACCTGAAA